TGCACCTCGTTGGTGATGAACCTGGCCCTGAAGGATTTCTGTAATTGATGGAAGCTTTTGATTGAGGCCAGCTCCAACTTGTAATACCACCTGACAGCTAATGGCCCCAGGCTGCTGGGGAATATTCGGCGCATGAGGGCTTCGTTGTCTGCATGCAATGTCATGGCCTGCTTGTAGTGACGGACATGATCAGTGGGGTCTGATTTTCTATTGTAGAGAGTGGATGACGGAGTTTTGAACTTCTTGGGCAGGGTCGCCCTTACAATCCGTCGGACAAAAGAATCGTGCTGGTCCTCTTCGTCTAAACTGCTCCTCCTGCGCTTGTTCCTTGTATGTAGACTCTTTTCGGAGGAGCTAGAAGTTTCGGATCGTCCCTTCTTGTTGAGCTCCGTGGTTAGTGAGTTGGAGTCGCTATCGGTACCCTTTGGTTGGGCTCGAGGTCGTTGTCCACCGGCCCTCGGAGGTCGTTCGGGATCTTGGCTCATGGCTTCTCTCGATTTTGCGACTTCGAGGGCCAAATCTTGACTGAGACGTTCATTTTCAGTGATCATGTTCTCCCGCCTTTGTTCATTCTGCTTTGCTTGTTCGATGATCGCTTGTATTGTCTCTTGCGCTGAGGTCGTTGGTGAGTCGAAGTTCAAGGCGCGTCTTGCAGTGATGGTTTCTTTTCCAAGCATATTTGTTGGAGTGAGGTCATCTCCCCGTGCGGTTTCGTCAATGGCTACCGGAGGATCTTCAGTCACGCCTGCCATGGATGCATTTGAGTATTCCCACAGACGGCGCGCAATTGTAAAGAAGTGGTTTAGAAATACTCTTCAGATCTTGGGAGACGCTAGTGATCCTCAGCTGGTCACCTGAAAAGATACAAACACTCCGGTCAGGGGTGCAGGGATTAGCACTCCGACGGATAAGTTAGTTCAAACACTTAGGATAGCTTGTTTACTAAGTTTTGTGAATGATTCTTATATACCTTTCTATAACCGTTGTTTCTGTATTTATACCTGCTCTTTTTGATCCTCGGGGCCAGGTCTTACTTTTTAATCATTGTCCTTTCTTTTATTCGGCCCTAAGGACTTACACTTATTCGGTATATATATTATATTCGGCTCCCCACTCTCGTAAGATATAGCCAATTAATATCAGTCTTCCAATGGTACGCACCATCTGATTTTTCCATATATTCGGCCCCACAAAGCAATTTTTAAAAATTTTTAGATATATATAACATAAATATCCCTAAAAAGTTAAAAAATTGTGAAAAAAACCTTTTAAAAATTTACAAAATATCCAAAAATACAAAAAAATATGAGAATTTAATACATTTTTTGTATTTTTATTTATTTATTAATTTTTAAAAATATTTTTTCACAAATATTTTAAAAAATAAAAAAATATTTAGAATTTTAAAAATATTTACTAAAAATTAAAAAACTTAGGGTGTGTTTGGTTTATGTTTGCAGAATAGTTTTTGAGATAAAAAGTACGACAACTTATTTTGTTTGCCTTTTTTCAGAAATGACTGTGAAAAATTATTTTGAGAAGAAAGTTTTAAAAAAAGTGATTGATTTGATGTATATGAGAGAGAGAGTGATTTTGGAAAGTAGATAATCAAACAAAATTTTGAAATTTTTTTTAGAAAAATTTGTTTGATTTGATCACTCTTAAAAATTTGTTTGTAGAGAATTTTTTTTAATTTTTTTTTTTGAAAAACAAACTAGACAAGTCGTTAATTTTTAAAAGAAAAATGCTCTGTAGTTTGAGAAAGTAAGGCTCGAATGACTCAAATGATACGAAAAATATTATCTTACTGGTAAAAAAGTCAAAAAAATCCTAAAATAACATCATTTTAAGATTTCAAACCACTCAAACCACAAAAAATTCGAATTACAAACCGAAATTGTTTTTAAAAAATTTAATTCAAATAATTCAAACCATACACTTTATTTATTAAGGAAAATGTCTCGTAACTCAAATTTTATGGCTCAAATGGCCAAAACGATATTGTTCTGTACTCAAAACGACGTCGTTTTAGCCATTTGAATTATTTTTGAGCCACAAAATTTGTGCTACGTAACATTGTGAATTTATTAAACAATTGAAATTTGTGAGCAGAGTTGATGTGACAACACTGCAACACGGCCCATGTCCGCCGCCAACAATCCGTATTTATTATACAAGTGCAATACAGATGGAAAAAATAAGTAATAGTTATAAAAGTACAATTTTTTTTATGATGTAGGGACTTTGATAGAGAGATGTAAAAGTACAATTTTTTGGGTCTCTCATAAACGTAGGACTTTGATGACAGCTCTAGCAGAATTATTCCAAAAGCAGTTCCAGCTGGCACATTTAAAAAAAAGAAAAGAAAAAAAAGGCAAAATATAAGAAAGAAAAAGACAAATTAAATTATTTTAAAACTTCAAAACATTTTTTATAAATGTATATTGGCCTATTTTAAAAATTATTTTTTAATTTATTTTAGATTATGTTATCTATCATATTTTTTATATGTTTGTCTAAAAATAGCCCAAAAAAAATAAAAAAAAGTCAATTTTTAATTATTTTTTAAAAATAATCCAATGTAAAAAAATGTTACTCATTCCGTCTCAAAATATTAGTCTCTTATTTAATTTGTTATTCCAAAATATTAATCCATTTTAAAAAATGAAGGACTAAATTAATATGAATTTTTTTATTTTACCCTTCTTTTAAATTCATTAACAATATAAAAAGTACAATTATAACAATTGATATTTTTAAAAAAGTACTATTAAAGAGTAATTTTGAAAAATTAATATTTTTAAAGTGTAATAATTATACTACTAAAAAAATTCAATTTTCCAAAAATGACTATTATTATGGTTTGGAGGGAATAGTTATTTTGACTTATTTTTCCAGGTTGATTAAAAATCATTTTTTTTATGGTTGAAAGTTAATTTTTTTTTGATTATTTTAATTTGTTTAAAAGAGTTAGGTTTAGAAAGATAGTTTTTTTTAAGATTTGATGGTTGTGAGAGAAAAAATGAAACAATTATAAGTTGGATATGACATTTTATTTTATTTTATTATTTTAATTTAATTTGTCTTTATTAACCATTTTAGTCCAAATAACTCTTTCTAAACAAGGCTTAAATTTCATTTTTGCATTTGGAAAGCTCAATGGAAATCTCTATTTGATTTAGTTTGGAAAGTGATTTTTTTAAAAAGAGTTTTTAAAATTTTAAAATTTGTTTGGTTCTACATTTTGAAAATAATTTTATAGTTTGAGATGATTTTAACTTTTTTTTATTTTTTTTTATAATTGAATGGATAGTTGTGAGAGAAAAATTAATTAATTGATAGGTAGTATATGAGAGGATGAGAAAATAGATAGAAAAAGTGATTAAAAATAATTTTCAAAAAATTGTAAGGCTCCGTTTGGGATACCAATTTGGGCTAAAATAGCCATATAGGATAAAATTGGTTATTTTAGTCAAACATGACAAAATATCACATCTAATTCATAATTATTTTATTTTTTCTCTTACAAAAGTAAAAAAAAAAGTCAAAAAATCAATCTCAAATGAGACTTTTTAGCCTCAGGCTAAAATAACAAAAAAATTAAAAACAAAAAAGTCAACTCATATCTCAAACGAACCCTAGGTTTTCATTTGGCAGTGACTCTTTTAGCTGACTTTTTTGTGTTGGACTTTTTTAGCCTGGCTTTTTGAGTCTCGTTTGGTTTGATTTTTTTGGTTTTCTTGAATTTTGTGAGAGATAAAATATAATGATTATGGTTTGGATGTGACATTTTATCTTATTGATTTATGTAGCCAAGTTTGTGGTTTTATGTTTTTTTAGCAAAAAATCTAAAATCAAACGAAGCTTAAATCAAACAAATTTTAGGTTTTAAACTCTCAAAAATTATTTTTAAAACTAAACCAAACACAACCATCACTGCAAAAAAATTAAGGTTTTAGAGATCAAAATTTAGGAATAATTTTTTTTTAAGAACCAATATTTTTGTTTCGAAAAGTGTTGTTTTTTATTTTTAGCAACAAAAATTAGAGATTAGTGATGAATTATTATCTTTTTGGGATAAAATTTTTTGTCTCCAAAAATAAATTATTTTGACACTAAGGTCTCGTTTGGGTACCCTCATTTTTAGCCAAAAAGTTAAAAAGTTACTAAATTAGCCAAAAAGCCAACAATCCATACCAAAATGTCAAAGATTCTCTTTTCTCTCTACTTTTTGCACATCTTTTCGTAAAATGCCAAAAAGTCATCCCAAACATACTAATTTTTTTTAGCTCATATTTTAGCCAAATAGGTAAAAAGTTACTAAATTAGCCTGTTCCCAAACGAGGCCTAAGTTATTTTATCCCTAAAGTCTATTTATTAGTAACATTTTCAAAATTTTGTTGCTAAAAATCTTGTTTTGAATTTTTCTAGACGACCTTTTAGCGACTATTCTCATAACAATAAAAATTGGTCCGTAAATATCTTTTGCAACAAAATTTTTACTTTTAAAGATTAAGTGGGTGTTTGGGAAGTTACTATTTTAGTAGGCTATTTTAGTATTTGACTATTTTAGGAGGCTAAAATTTTTGTGTTTGAGAAGATAGTTGATTTTTTTAGTTAGATGTGATATTTGTCAGAAAAAAGTGAAATAATTATGAGTTTGATGTGATATTTTATCTTATTAATTATTTTAATCTATTTTGTTTTTTAGTACTATTTTAGTTAAAAAAGTTAAAAAAACTTCTTCCCAAACACCCGTAAAACATTCTAAAATTCTTATTTGTTATAATACAGGTCTCTTGAAAAAAAAAAAAAAAATGTTATGTACGAAATATTGTAATCAAATTTTAAAATTTTGCAATATTAATTCTCAAATTTTAAATATTTTATTAACTCAATTTATAATAAAATTACGTATTTTATAATTGGTATCTGAATCACACAGGTCTATAAGGAGATACATAAGATTTGTCCTCTCTATAAATAGGTACTTTAACGGGTCAATTTCCACATTCTCTCTCAGACGATAGAAAAACAAAATACAAAAGAGAGAAAAAGAGAGAGAGAGAGAGATATGGGTGAGGCTGCTGAAATGATCCCCTCAATTTCTCTTACAAATGAGGTATTGAGTTTGGATAGACACAGCGAAGAATGGAAAGCGATGACTGGAAAGGTGAGAGAGGCCTGCGAAGCATATGGTTGCTTTATGCTTGATTATGAGAAGATCCCATTAGAGCTTCAACAAATACTGTTCAAGACCACCGCCGAGATGTTCGATCTCCCAGTGGAGACCAAGTTGCAGTACAAAAAACCTACTCCTAAAGATGGTGGTTACGTTCTCAGCAACCCGTTTATCCCTCTCTACGAGAGCTTTGGAGTCTATGGCGAAGAAGAGGTTCGAGCTTTCGAGAGGCTTATGTGGCCTCAAGGCAATCCTCAATTCTGGTACTCATACTTATGCACAATTTGGAATGAGTAATATTAGGCATCATGAAAAAAATATCATGAAATGTATTAAAATTTTTTTTTATTTTTTGATTAATGTGTGGTGTTTTATTATACGTATAATTTAAAAATAAAGAATTTTTTATGATTATCCTCATCTTCATGACACTTTTTTTCATGATCTCTACCATTACTCATTTGGAATTAAGGAGAACGGAAGGTAATCATAATTTATTAGACTTTTTTTTAAAAATAATCATTCCTTTAAAATGTAAAAGCTGATTATATTTGTGATGTATTTTTTATTATTTTTTTAATTTAATCAAATATATGAATTAATATTTTAATAGAATAATTGATTCATTCCAATGAATCAATGCAATATTTGACTCATTAGAGTAATTGTTATATTAAAATATTTATTTTTATATTTAATTGATTAATAAAATAATAATAAAATGTATTACAATTATAAAATTATCATTTATTATTTTAATTATTTCATTCGAACTCATTTATGTGAACAGTAATAATGTTAGGGGGTCACAAAATTTATAGCTTAAATAGCTCAAAATACCAAAAACGACATCATTTTATATATGAAATAGAAAAATGTGGCAGACCCCAACCAAAACCGACCCCAGTGACCCCCCCCAAGTGCCACGTGGCACTGGGTGATTGGAAGAAAAGAAAAAAAAAAAAAAAAGGAAAATAAGAAAAAAAAAAAAAAAAAAAAAGCTTATATTTTATACATATTCCTCCCTAGCATTTCTGTATAAAATAACATAAAATAATATTATTTTGATAATTTCAAACCATTTAAACTACAGAATTTATGATCACTAAACATTTTCCTTATGTGAACCAGGATCTTACTTTTCTTATTTTGGAAAGCTGTGGGACAGGCTATATTGTAGCCCGTTTGTCAAAAAAAGCAAAATAGCGAGGCTGTCCAGCTGGATGCCAATAACGCATAAAAATACTATTTTACCCTTGGGTTACACATTTGCCTCAGACCAATCTGTAATTTTTTTGGAAACCTAGCATGTACTTTTTTTCATTTCATAGAAATAAACTGGGTGGTGGCAGTGTACTAATTGCCACAGCAATTGACTAAATTTTTAAATTTTTTTTGTAGGGACACTTTGGTCATTTTGTATTATACAATCATTTCAAATATATTTTTCAATATAATAATAACAAAAAAAATTCATCTCATCTTTCCAAATACAAAAATTAAAATAGCCAACTAAGAACATCTTCAATGGTTCATCAGATTTTTATTTAAATTTGAGTAAAAAAAAAAAAAGATTTTTTTTATTTGATATCACTTGTTCTAACGGAGAAATTTAACTTTTCATCAAACTACCGGTCGACTGGGCAGACTATTGGTCAATGCAAAAAATAAAAAACTAAGAAAACAAAGAGGTTGTCGATCAGGGGGTCGATTGCCTAGTATAAAATTTTCACAAAATTTTGCTTAAGATGGTCATTCGGGAGGACGTTCGGCCGGTTGTCCGGTGGGATCCACCTCCAACGTAAACGCACAGTGTTTTGGTGAAAGCTGCTCCGCTTCTCATTTTGGTGAAATTTTTGGTGAATTCTCAATTTGATATCCGGTTGGTGAAATCATTGGAGCCATAAAATTGATATTTTTTCACCAAATTCAAATTTGATGGTGAATTTGATTCACCGTTGTAGATGGTCTAAGGGTTCGTTTGAGAAGTGGATTGGCTTTTTGGCGTTTCTGGCTATTTTAACTTGGGGTTAAAAAGCCTGGTTTAGGAAGGGTTTTAAACTTTTTTGATTTTTTTTGAGAGAAAGAATGTAATGATTATGGGTTACATGTGATGTTTTGTTTTATTGGATTAAAAAGTTTATTTTATTTTTTGTGATTAAAATAGTTAAAAACGCCCCAACTTTTACTTTCAAAACGAAGTCTGAAATAGTTAAATAATCAAAAAAATCTGAAAAATAATCACTTGCCAAACACTTACTAAATTTATTGAAAGCCCACGATAAATAGGGTAAAAGCAGACCTACTAATATTTGGATACTTTTATTTTTTGATAGTGAGGTTATCAACTCCATAACTGCAAAGGTGCATGAACTGAACCTCCTATTACTGAGAATGATTTTCGAGAGCTTTGGGATAGAAGAGTACTACAAGGAGAAAGCACTAGATGAGAACATTATTGGGTATTTACGTTCCATGAAGTACAGACTCCCTAAAGAGGATGAAGACCCTCTTGGTCTCGCAATTCACGTTGATAAAACCATCATAACCATTTTATGTCAAAATTCAGTGCAAGGTCTTGAGGTTCTCACTAAAGAAGGAAAATGGATTAAACTTAGCATTCCTAAGGGAACCTTGGTAGTCATTGTCGGCGATGGGCTCCAGGTGTGTGTTTCTCTGTTCTTTTATCTTTTCGATTTTTGTGAAAAATGAATACTGTTATCATAGTCAATCGTACTTAAAACATTTTTACTCTTTGATTTAGACCCATATATACAAGTAAATCAAAGTCATAAATGCATTCGATGTCTCACTCTCTCTTGTTTAATTATTACATGTGTAAATATTTTGGGTGATGATTGAGATCCTCTCCCCACCGCCTCCACCACTTTATATGTCCACCACTTTATATGTGGCGGGTGGACGTGACGGGTGGTGATTGAAAGAGAGAGAAAAAAAAATAAAAAAAATAAAATAGCTAATCAAGTGAAAGGGGTAAGAGAGTGGAAAAAAAGGATCAAAGTCATTATTGAAATATTTTTGAGTTTTCACAAGGAATATATATATATATATATTTTTTTTTAATTTAATGATGCAACTAAATATAGGCTTGGACCAATGGAAGAGTTGAAGCAGTGCAACACAGGGTGGTGATGAGCGGTGACAAAGAGAGGCTTTCGTGCGGATTCTTTTCTATTCCAAAGGATGGAGTGAGTGTTGAGATACATCCACAGCTTGTAGACGAAGAACATCCTCTGCGCTACCGATCATTCGTTTATTCTGATTATCTTGCCAAATACCTTGCCAATACTAGGTTGGATGCGCTCGAGCTTTTTGCCGGTATTTGCTGATCTGTGGCACAGAGGTTTCTCCTATTTGACTTTCTAGTGTTGGTACTATGAACAAGTTTTGGACTTTATTTATCACTGTGTTGAATAACTTGGGGAGGAATTAGAGTGGTTTCTATCCTATATTGTACTACTTTTGTTTTTTTGTTTTTAATTTGGAATAATGTTTTAGAGCACTAAATTGGGAGTTCTAAAGTATCACTAATGATGTGGCACAGTGGCCCCCACCAAAGTGATATGATGTTTTGGCTTGAGTTTGTTTCTTTTTTTTTTTTTTTAAGCTCATTAGAGTTATTAGTGGTCCAAAAATTAGTGAGATAAATCACCGCTCTTTAATTTGATACTGTTAGCGAGGAAGTATAGAGTGGTTTCCGTCTCTTTTGTACTTCTTTTGTTTTTAATTTGATAAGTAATAACCTCTCCAAAAGAGATTGTGATCCCTCTATTTTTTTTTTAAATATTATTTTTTTATCAGGAAAAAAGTTGAGTAACTTGATTATAGTCTAGAGCTTCACAAGTGATATCATCATATAATAAAGAAGGGAGAGGTGCAAAAAAATATCACAACTTAATTAATAGATTTTTATTAGATTAGCATTGTGATCTTAATTCCTCTATATTATATGTAATGAATTCCTCTATATTATATGTAATGAATGGAAGAATTATATTATACACACACCCGTATCATATGTTTCTTAGTTACGTTAACTTTTTTTAGTTATAATTAATTTTTTTTATGTTATGACATATTTTAAAATATTTAGTTACGATTTTTTTGTGTTTGATTATAATTTTTTTTTTTAATTTTGACTCAGAAAATATGAAATTATCTCATTTTTTTGTATATGGTACACACTTTTTAAAGAGTGTATTATAGTCATTCTCATAATAAATGATATTTATTATATTATTTAACGGTTATGAAAAATTATCTTAGAAAGTGCAATGATTTTTTCTTAATTTGAAATAATGATGTATTTTTATTTTTATCTTTTAGTTGTTAAATTTGAAAAAAAAGTTAAAAGTCATTTTCCTATTTTTAATTTATTTTGAGTCACATTATCTTTTATTTTTTAAAAAAAATTTAAAAAATTAAAAATCAACTATTTTTCTAAATTAATCCGTAATGACAATGTTTTATTATAATCACGTAATAAAGGGAATCAAGTGTCTATTATATTTCTTTTAATATGATTTTTTTTTTTAAAGCAAGATTTGTGATGAGTGATTTTATGATTAGTTTTTTTCTAACTTTTTTCAATTTGTTTTCCACTAGAATGTCGTGACGACCCCACAATCATGATAAAAAAATACAGCTTATACATGCATATTGCTCCGTTTGTTATGACAATCATGATAAAAAAATACAGCTTATACATGCATATTGCTCCGTTTGTTATGATTGTTTAGTTCTTTTCAACTTTTTGTCAATTTTTTTCCCACTAGAATGTCGTCACAAAGCACAATCATGATAAAAAAAAGATGGCTTATACTTACATATTGCTGCTTTTGTTATTTGGAAAATCAATCCCGCTACAGACCCTCAGTGACTTGCGACCCCCGGTGACCCCCAGTGACATGGCAGCTGATGTGTAAACATAGCTTGAAAAAAAAAAAGAAAAAATCTAGAAAAAGCAGGAACTCGTCTATCCTCACCTCTCGCCGCCATTCTCCTCCTCCACCGACGACGGCCATAGCTCGCCGAAATTTCTGCAATCTTCGTCGCTCTCATCAATCTGGTAATATCTCCATAGCTCGCTCTCATCTATTATCAATCTTCGTACCTCTCATCAAACTGAGTTTCAAACTGAATGATTTAAGGTTCCTAAATGGGTTTAAGGTTCCTCTCATCAAACAAAGATTGAGAGGAAGATTGAGATGAACCTACAGGGGCACAGAACTATAAATTTACAGTTCCTCTCAGAAAATGGGTTTAAGGTTCCTCTCAATCTTTGTACCTCTCAGCAAACAAAGTTTTCACCCATTTTCTCATTAAAGGAAAATTTATAGTTCTGTGCCCCTGTAGGTAGTAAACTGAATGGAGATAATTAATTGTTGCTGTTCACAATTTTCAAGAACTACTTTCAGTTGAAACAAACAGGGGAAAACAAGTGTTGGATGTAAAGAGATATCTTTTTCTTTTTGTTTAGCTCACTGCAGAGGCATTATAAATTTTCTACCAAAGTATATGTTGAGATATGACAGTAGATATGCTAGTTTAAGCAAATGGAATGGAACCTAAGGCATTATGTCATATCCAAATCCATTGAGTTTTGGTTTTACTACCCTATTGCCTTTGTAGTATAACTTTATTGATGATCTGGATTGGAGTCTGTTATGCGATTAAAACATCTTAATTGTGCTAGGCAATTCAGATGTTGTAATGAGCTTTTCGCAGTTCACAAGTAAATTTATCCGAAAAATGTTGAGGACTTACTTATAGACTCTGTAGGTACTAATACTATTTCACAGATTGAATTATTGGATCCTCTTCGGCTGTTAATTGGTGGTGACTCCTCTGAAATTCAAATTGTTAGGTGCTTTAGATCATTATGTAATGGTAGTGGAGATGTTTCTCATTTTGGTGCACCATTAGTTTTGAAGCCTTATATACAATTATTGCCTCTTTTACAGTTTATTCGCTTCAATCCAGTTTATTTTCTCTGTGCTGCAAGTTAATTGTTCTAATAGCTGTATTTGTTTAATTGTTATTTCAGTACGCAAAGTGGAAGAATGGAGGTTGATTCAAATGTTGGTGAGAATCCTTTTATACATGAGGGCGAAGATGTTGAAGAACCTAAAAAGGGTATGTGTTGTAGCTCAAGGGAAGAGGTGTACACATTTTATGGCAAATATGCTAAGCATGTTGGATTTTCTATAGCTCATAGAGCACAACATTTTGGAGATGATGGGCAATTGTTAAACTTTGCAATTGAATGTTCTCGAGCGGGGCAGAGAAAAAAGAAATCAGAAGTCAACCCTCTGAAGCCATGTTTGTCTACAAAGATTGGTAGCATAGCAAGGGTACGAGGTAGTGTACAAAAGGATGAGAGATATAAACTAACCACAGTTAACCTTGAGCATAATCTTGATTTGATTCCCATCGACTCACGTCATTTTGCAATGAATAAGAAAATTCTTACTCCTGTGAAGAGAAGATTAGAAATTAATGATGAAGCAGGGATTAGGGTGTCTAGGAACTTTCATTCAATGGTTGTTGACGCGGAGGGATACGAGTCATTGACATTTGACGAGCGAGATGCAAGAAATTACATTGAGAGAGCTAGAAGGTTGAGGCTTGGGGAAGGTGATGTTGAATCACTTCAAAGTTATTTTATGAGGATGCAAGCACATAGTGAGAGATTCTTTTATGTGATTGATGTTGATGAAGAGTTTCGCATTAGAAACTTGTTTTAGGCTGATGCTAGGAGTCGGGCGACTTATGAAGCATTTGGAGATGTCGTTTCATTTGACACAACGTATTTGACGAACAAATATGACATGCCATTTGCTCCATTGTCGGAGTTAATCACCGTGGACAGTCCATTTTGCTTGGTTGCGGATTGTTGTCTAGTGAAGACACTAACACATTTGTTTGGCTATTCAAGTCATGGTTAAGTTGCATGTCAAATCATCCGCTAAAAGCTATCATAACTGATCAGTGTAGAGCTATGCAAAATGCTATAGAAATTGTGTTTCCGCAAGCTCGACATCGGTGGTGCTTATGACATATCATGAAGAAAATTTCGGAGAAGTTGAAAGGATATGCGCAGTATGAAGCCATAAAGTTGGCTATACAAAATGCAGTTTATGACTGTTTGACAAGAGTTGAATTTGAGAGTAAATGGGAAGAGATGCTTGTAACATTCAATCTTTATGATAATGAGTGGTTGGGGGTACTATATGATGAGTGGAATCGATGGGTACCTGTCTATGTTAAAGACATTTTTTGGGCTGGCATGTCAACTACACAACGAAGTGAAAGTATGAATGCGTTTTTTGATGGATATGTAAATCCAAAAACTACATTGAAGCAATTCGTTGAAAAATATGACAATGTCTTGAGAAATAAGGTAGAGAAAGAGAAGAAAGCAGACTTCAAGTCTCGACACAAATTGTTTGATTGCCTAACTATATATGGCTTTGAGAAGCAATTTCAGCAAGCCTACACCAATGCGAAATTCAAAGAAGTTCAAGGAGAGTTGAAGAGATTAATTTACTGTCAGGCGGTGATTGTGAAAGAGGAGGGATCAATTTCTACATATAATGTCCAAGAAGCGATGGTAGTTTGTGAGAAGATGAAGCATGTGGACTTTGTTGTTTATTTTAATTCAACTGAATGTGAAGTTCAATGCATATGTCGGTTGTTTAAGTTTAGAGGCATTATGTGTGCTCACTCACTTGCTGTGCTTGTTAGAAGATGCATAAATGAGGTGCCAAGTAAATACATTTTGCCCCGGTGGAGAAAAGATGTGGATAGAGAATACGCATGCATCAAAACCACATACACCGGCTTTGGGAATGATTTCAATGCAAGTACCTATGAGAGAATGAACAAAAAATTGATTGCCATTGTACAACTTGCTGGTAACTCTGAAGGCAAAACTAGAATTGTAGACCTTGGGTTGGATGAAATCAAGGAAATAGTCATGAAAGAAGAATCCGGTGATGGGAGTAATTTACCATGTTCAACAAAAAGTCCGATTCACACCGGTTCTACATAAGGAGGTACTAATAGGAAGGTGATCAGTCCTTTGGTTGCTCAGCGAAGAGGTCGTCTAGTTACGAAACGGAAGGTTGCCAAAGTAGATCAAATTGTTAATCGGTTCAAGGCAACGGCAAAAAAACAAACAAAAGCAAAGGTAAAATGTCTATTCAAAATTTTTTTTATTACAAACTCTATTCAAGTATGTAAAAGCAATTCAGAAATTTCAATCTTTAATTATTCTTCAAAACATACAGGCTGCTAAGTTGCTTCGATTTGAAGCTCAAGCTCAAGCATATATACCGTATTATCCTTATATGGTTGGCACAGAAAATAGTATGTATGTACCGGTACGTGTTCCAAAGAGGCCTTCATGTACTTTTACAAAGTGTATTCCAAAGAGGACTTCATGTACTTTTACAAAGTGTATTATTCAAACATGTACTTTTTGCAATGAATTGTCACAGGTGGCCCATGGTATTGGAGGCACGTCTCTTACTCCATCGGACTTCATAAGTGGCACACAGGGAAGTTTGATGAGTGCTCCAACTCAGATTTATGATTCTGCGTCTCTAACCCCATCAGCTTCTCATGCATGCACACCAGGAAGCTTGGATATTACAGACTTGTTTGACTAGTTTCTATGTATTCGAACTGTTTGTTTTTTAGGTTGGAAATTATGTAGTCTATTAATCTGTGTTTCAAACTTTGTTTTTGAGATTGTAGTTTATGTTACATGTGGATTTGTAAAACATGTGGTGTACTAATTATTAATAAAGTTATGTTATTATTATTATTTGTTATGTAATGAAGATGTTGCAATATTTAGTAATGAACAATGTTTATTTAGCAGTTCTTTGTATTGAACAATGTTTATTGAACAATTTTCATGTATTCAACCATGTGTATTCAAGAGTTTTCCTGTGATGAACAATGTATATTCAGTAATTTCTCTGTATTTAACAATGTATATTCAATCGTTTCCCTGTATTCAACAATGTATATTAAATAGTTTCACTGTATTCAATCATGTATATTCAATAGTTTACCTGTATTCAACAATAGTTACCTTGCATTCAACAGTTTCCTGTATTTAACAAAGTCGATTCAATGAGTATTGAAGAAAGTATACAAGTTTGAACAAGTCATTTTCCATTCCATTCACCACAAAAGAGGTACAATAATTAGATTTCAATACACAACAAAACATAACTTCCTCGAAAACATCACAAAAGTATGCAGTCTACTTGAACTTGTACATTGACATCTACTTCTACTTGTAACTTACATATATGTATATATATGTTATTATATATTCATAAGTTTAAAGACACTGATTACAAGCAACACGGACAATATACATATCAACTTTTGCATCTTTGCGTTCTGAATTCGAAGTTGTTCCATCATTTGTATTTGTTGTTCGGTCATAGCTCGAAGTTGTTCGGTCACAACTTGTTTGCCGACAGTTGGCACTTCGTCTCTTGGAATTTGATGACCTCTATATTCTAGATTTGTAGGTAAACACCATCCGATAAAACCATAATTATTACAAGAGTAGAATAACTTGTTTTTGTTTCGATCGGTTTGTGATATTAAAATGGTGGCCTTTTTATTACATGTACGACAATTTCTGTTGACGTATGTCAACCAATCTGAGCTACTGCCACTGACACTGACACTTGAACTTGACATCTGCAAAAACGGACAAATATTAACATGATAGCACTTGTATATATTCATTATGAAGCACATTAAAAATACATGTTTCTCAGTCTATAAAAAAGCTAATATAAGCTTTATGACCGCCCTTGGAGGTGATTCTAAAAATCAGCTTATTTACCCTAAAAAAAAGCTGTTATAAGTTGTAGTTGGTGTCATAAAGCTGTAACAAACAGTTAGATTTTGTAACAAAGCTGTTATTTTTGCACTTCATTCAATTATTGGATGCTACTAGCACTCATTCAGATAGAGGTGTTATTTCTCAGTCTACATTGACTAGCTGTCATGACACTAGCCAGTTCAGAATTGGATTCTGTATCTGGGTTTCTCTCTCTGTGGAAAGTAAGTTTGATTTCTCACTTACCAGATTATAGATTGTTGAAAGAGAGAAAATAAAGAGAATGAAGAAGACAAGGGACAGGGACAGGGTGTTCATAAAAAATCTGGACACATTAGTCTTCAAAATGATCAAGTAAAACCTGTTTCATTTTAGAAGATAGATAGATAGATACATGTTTTCATTATTTACCTTTTTATTTAATGGGAAAACCTGTTTCATAGATAATGGGAAAACCTGTTTCATAGATACAGGTTTCATAGATTATGAACAGGTTCATTGTGTCCTTTCCAGAAATTATATAAGATGATGATTAACACAAAGATATAAATATTGACTCTAAGGTCTCACAGTATTCATATGTTATGTGCTTGGGTGTTTAATCTGAATGTCAAACATTGAATTAATTTACATATATGGATGTAAAGATGTTTACATGTTAGGTTTCTAGTTAGATGTGGCATCTAAAGACATGTTTGTGATTAAATAAAAGCTACCATTCAAAGTTTTGAATCCTGAGGCAAAATGCATGTATGATTAGGTCTAATGAACATGTCAAAAAAACAAAAAAACAAAAATTTGCATCAAGGGGGAACTAATTGTGTATGCTTATAAATGAACAATCTCATTGACTTTATTTTGTTTTTTTAGTCCACAATCCAAAAAAGCACCTGCTACCTAAACACCTTAGGACTTTCAACTACGAAAATTACCATACAAACTAAAAAAATTCACAACTTTTTTTTTACTCATTGATGTGGTATGTGAATTTCATGGTGAAGCAACCCAATACTGCATAAATCAGCTTTGTAAAGTACTCAGTATTTTGTAATCCAAATTCAGCTTATGAACAGGTAACCTGCGTAAATCACAGATATACATCACTGTCATAAAGCTGGTTTATAAATCACTGCCATGAAGCTTTATAAAGCTGATTATGAACAGGTTTAACATTTCGTTGAGGAATTTCATCGAACAGGTTTATGGCAATGTAAGACTCCAAATGCAAAAGGCCACAATTCCCAAATGAAAAGGCCAAATTCAATCCCCAAGATCAGATAGCATGACAGAGAAAATCAAAAGGCCAAATGAAATCATTTCACAGATATATATATATATACCCAGATAAAATTACCTCTTAATCGGAGATTCGGGAGAAGCGGGAACGAGCTGTGTCGGAGTGAAGGGAATGAGTGGTCGCCGGCGTCGAAGTGGGGTCATGCGTCGGAGTGGTTATCGCTGGAGCTGGAGCTGGAGCTGGAGTGGTTACCATTGGAGATTTCAAAATGAAATGTGAAAATGTGTTTGGGTCTTAATGTCACGTGACAATCACGTGACGTGCCACCTCAGCTAGGGGTCACTGGGGGTCTCCAATACTGGGGGTGCGAAGCATTTTTCTTGGAAAATCAACCCCGCTACAGACCCCCATTGGCTTGCGACCCCCAGTGACATGGCAGCTGATGTGTAAACACAGCTGGAAAATAAAAAAATATATATATAATGTAGCCTTGGTTTGACTATTATTTTGAGACTAAAAAAAATATAAAATGACAAAATAGATTAAATAAATTAATAAGACAAAATATCATATTCAACTTATAATCATTATATTTTTTTTTTTTACAAAAGTTAAAAAATTCAAACTAAATGAGGCTAAAAAAGCTCCAAAAAAAATTGGCTATATTAGCCAATACCAAATGAAGCTTAAAGTTTTTTTATGAATCAATTAGTCTTTTTTGTTTAAAAAAATTATATTTATTTGTTTGGTATCATTTGAGTATAAGTGAACACCCTTTTGCAATTCATTTTTCTAATTTTTTGATTCGTTTTTTGGATGGAAATTGATAGGTGAGGTATGGAAGATTCTTTTTAGAGGGATTGGTGGTTGAAGTGTTGGTTGTCGAACGTTGAAATCTATATTTCTATTAGTGTAATTTTCTGGTGTCATATTAGAGTGTTATGTTTTAAAAAATACACTAAGTAGTTTTTGTGTATTACATTGATTGGAGTGTTACGTTTGATAAAAAGACACTAATATTGCACCTGAATTTTCACTTTTAATAGTTATTTGGGAAAAATATGAGTTTTTAATAGCGACGATGAAACTATTGTTTAATTTTATTACTTTATTTAGACCCTTGAAAGGCTTACTTAGAGTCACTACCTAACATAGAGTTTGGGTGTGTTAGGCCACTCGGAAAAAAGATTTTTAATGAGCCAATAATTTTATATTTTCTATTGGGTTAATTACACTAATAGTCCCTATAGTTTGGGACTTGTGTCACTTTGGTCCCTGACTTTTCAATTGTGACACATTTGACCATGAATTTTGAATCTTGTTCCAAATAAGGACAATTGAAAATATTATTAGATTTTTTAAGGGTAAAATCGTCAATTTGATAAAATATAAACTAATTTGACAAAAATAAATGTAAAAAAAATATTTTTAATTTTTTTAAAATTATTTTTATCCACTAATGATAAAATTATGTAAAATTAATAAAAATTACATAATTAATTTTTTAAAAGTTAGAAATAATTTGGTAAAAAAATTAATTTGGTAAAAAAAATAAATTAATAATTTAATACGCAAAAACTAATAAAAATTAGAAATAATTTGGTAAAAAAAGTTAGAAATAATTTAATACACAATAGTTAGAAATAATTTGGTAAAAAAATTAATAAAAATTAATAAAAATTACACATTTGACATGATCATCATCCAAACACATAATAAAAATTAATTTAGTAAAAAAAAATAAATGTCTAAAAGATTTATCAATTTTACATAATTTTATTTTTAGTAGGTAGAAATAATTTTTTAAAATTCAAAAATATTTGTTTGACATTTATTTTTGTCAAATTAGTTTATATTTTATCAAATTGATAATTTTACCCTTGAAAAATCTAATTATATATTCAATTATCCTTATTTAGAACAAGATTCAAAATTCAAGGTCAAATGTGTCACAATTGAAAAGTCAGGGACCAAAGTGACACAAGTCCCAAACTATAGTGACTATTTGTGTAATTTGCCCTTTACTATTTACCAATGTGGGGTTGTTTTAT